TCTATAGTCTAGATGTCACCTTGATGTGAGCTTCTTTCAAAAGCACAACCTGTTTTGTTCTTCTGATATATTTTGTACCCTGATATGACTGTCCCCCAGGGTATGTCTACACTACCCCGCTAGTTCGAACTAGCGGGGTAGTGTAGACATACCCCTTGTTTTCCTTTATTCCCGTAGCTAGTTTAAGCTCATTTTGTGCCTTTGCCTGAGACAATGCCACGTTCTCACGGAACCCCGGGGTTCCACGGAGCACCAATTGGGAAACACTGCTCTGTGTTCATGTCCACTGTGATGCCCTTAATTGCCTCTTCTGAAAAAGCGTGAACATGCTGTTCGGTGTCCCCATTTAAATTTTTCCCTTATTGAACCAGTGCTGACTCTCACTTGGTGCGTGCGACAGAGCTGGGTCATGGCCGAGACCTTCACTTCTCTGTTTTAGACAGTTGGGTTTGTTTTTTATTAAATAAATTAGTGTTTGTTTTTAACCTCACAAGCTAACAGGCTAAAATGCCCATCTTTAACCCTCCTTTCCCCCTGTACAATTTCATTGGTTATCTTTGCTCTCTGGGGCTCTCTTGCTTCCTTGGAGCAAAACCAGCGAGAGAGGTTTGGAGGCAGCCAAGTTTCCTCTGGCCCGGGACACGGAGCCCACGCGAAAGGAAACGGGGCTTGTGCTCTCCTGCTCCAGAGGCTGCCTTGGGAAGTCCATGTCACTGCCACACTGGAACAAAAGGCATGTGCCAGCTTCTCCCGTTTAATGTTCTACTCCCCTCCTCTTCCCATCTCTGCCGGGAGACTTCCAATGCTGCAGCTGCCTCTGTGGGAGAGGAAGCCAACGCTGCAAAGGGTGGCTCTTTGTGTCCCTAAGGCAGGGGTGGGGAACCTCAGGCCCAACTTGCCTGGATCCGGCCCTCAAGGCTTAGAGCCACCCCAGCATTGGGGAGCCTACGCTGGCATTCCAGCCTCTGGAGCGCGCACAGTCTCCCGACTCGGTCCCCCTAGGCTCTGCTGCGTGAGGGGAATGTGGGGAGCGAGCGTCTTTCTCCACAGTCGGGGGGCCATGTCAGTGAGCGTTGAGGGTTTTGCTTCTCACTTGTGTGCAGCCCCCCATTGATTTTTCTGTGGGTCAGCAGCCCCTGACCCAGAAAAGGGTCCCCTGCCCTAAGGTATGGCAGGAAGGGCTGTGCTGGCCAGACATGGGGCAGTTACAACAGATGCCCCTTGGCTAGCATCCCCCTAATCACGCCTCTCGTGACTCTCAGTGACCTGAAAGTCATGACCGTGGGAGGTCACTAGGAAGTGCTGCTGGCGTGTCATTACAGCAGGGGAATTCCTCCTCCCCAGCCCCCTCAGGCTGCTGTTTGGGCCTTTCTCCGGTGCGTGCACATCCTGCCTTCTGCAGAGGAGCCATTGGTCCACCTGCAGGTACTTAGCTGTAGTGCTGTAGCACAGTACATCTATAGACCAGTGGGTCTCAACCTGGGGCCGGTGGCTATGTGCAGCGCAGTCATCACGAAGCTGCGGCCCATGTGTCATCCTTGAGGCCGTTAAGCTGCGGCCCATGATGGTACGTAGGCTGGAATCACTGATCCGTGTTCTGCATCGACCATCTTCCCTGTCTGTGCCCCAAACTAACCTTCCCCTTTTTTCCTTGGGGGTGTCAGGTGCGTGACAGAACCGTGTGAGAGGAAACCCAGCGCAACATGGGGGAGGGGACGGACAGCTGGCCTAGGGAGAGCAGAATCAGTGGGGGGGTGGAGGCAGGAGCTGCAGCAAAGGAGGGAAGTTGTAAGAATTGCTCCCATAATAGAAGAGCTAGAGGACACCAAATGAAGTTAATGGGTAGCAGGTTTAAAACTAATAAAAGAAAGTTCTTCTTCACACAGTGTGTAGTCAACCTGTGGAACTCCTTGCCAGAGGAGGCTGTGAATGCTAGGACTATAATAGAGTTTAAAGAGAAGTTAGATAATTTCATGGAGGTTAGGTCCATAAAAGGCTACTAGCCAGGGGATAAAATGGTGTCCTTGGCCTCTGTTTGTCAGAGGCTGGAGAGGGATGGCAGGAGACAAATCTCTTGATCATTGTCTTCGGTCCACCCTCTCTGGGGCATCTGGTGCTGGCCACTGTCGGCAGACAGAATACTGGGCTAGAAGGACCTTTGGTCTGACCCAGTACGGCCGTTCTTATGTTGCTCAGGCAGCCAGAGAAGTAAAAGAAATGACACCGAGTGGGGATGGGAAACCCCGTTAACCACCAGGAGACGTGTGTGATCAGAGACTGTTACCATGGCTCCCCTGTCCCCTGAACAGGGTGTTCTACTGAGCTCCCTTTAGGGTGTTGACTGTCTAGTAGAAGCTGCCACTCCGCCACCACCCTTTTCTGTCCTGGCTGCGTTGACTCTGAATTTCCCTTTCCCCAAAATACAATTATGTTCCCCGGCCCGGCTCTGTGGCAAGGGCCACCCCTTGTGTTGAAACAGACCCTGTGCGTAGTTGGGGGGGAGGGATGTGTTTACACTGGGAACACCTCTCTCTCTCTCTCTCTCTCTCTCTATTTACAAGAGCAGGAACTTTGCAAAGTGTAAACAGCTCTGTTGAGTGAGCCGCTGTGACTCAGACCTTGTGTGCCGTCAGCTGGAAGAGCGCGTTGGAATAGTGACACATGAGACGCCCGGAGGGAGTGGCCGCAGAAATACTTCAGGGCTGTGTTAAGCGACTAAAAATACCCTTTGCCCCCCCCGCCGCCGCCTCCTTTTCCTTTCTAAATTTCAGATCGTTCCATGCCCCCCCCCAGCCGGCTCCGGGGACCAGCTGGCAGCTCGTCTCTGGCTGAAGCCGACCCTCCGGCATTGAGCCAGGGGCTTTGCCTTTTCTGGAAGGAGCTATGTATCAGAAAGTGTCTGGTCTGGAGACCCGCCTGGCTGGTGGAGGTGGGCAGGCCCAGCCGTGGTTCATTCTTGCTGGCCCAAGCTGGGGGGTCTCTCTGCTACTTGGTTGAGGAGTCGTCTAAGCAGGTGGGGGGTACAACCCTAAGCCTCCTGCCAGGAGCAGCAGGTGCTTTCTGCACTGCCTCCCAGCCAGCTCCAGGGCACCGGCCGGCCTCTAGCAGGGGTGGGAGTTGGATGGAGCCTGGCTTAGCCCAGGTGAGACTCTGGAGAGTGTGGCAGCGCTTGGGCCTTATACTCCAAGCAGTGGCTTCTGTCTGCTCAGGGGGAGACGAGCCCCCTGGCCAATCTAGGAGCTGGTCTGGCTAGTGCCAAGCGATGGCAGCTCCAGCCCCCGACAGCACTGGGAGGAGCTGCCCCCTCTTGCAGTGCATCACTGGCTTCCTGGCCCTGAGCCGGGGGGCGGAAGGAAAAGAGCTTCTCTCAGCTTGTCTGGCATCAAGCGGGCTCTCTGCCCCGCTGGGGAGGGTCCTGGGAAGGGTCTCGAGGACCGGCCAGCGAGGCAGAGTTGGGTTGAACCTGGTGGGGCCTTGCTTGGGGCGGGGGAAGGGCTGGGCTGGAGAGCCATGATGCTCAGTTCAGAGCATGTGGTTCCAGAGAGCCAAGAGCACCTCTGAGCCACCTGCCTGCCGGTGCAGCTTCACAAGGGAGGCCATGCTGCTCTGAGCAAGCAGCGGGGCCTGGTTTTTACAGCTGGGGCCTATGGAGCTGAGTACAGCTCATGAATACTTGTGTGGCCTCTGCCACCAGCATCCACATGCCTCCTCTTTTCTGCATGAGCCACAGCCTCACACTGCCACTAGCCACCTCCTCCCCCGTGCATGACCACGGGCCAACCCCCCTGCCGGCCTGCTCGCCCCGGGCAGCGACAGCGGGACCGTTCTGGCTCCGAGCAGAAGGCAGCACTCCTGCCCTGGCAGCTGGTGCTGCACCGGTCAGCCTTCCCCTGCCACTAGCCACCTCCTCCCCCGTGCATGACCAC